ATAGAGGACAGAAGAAAGGTGAAACAAACTGTCAGAGCTGCCACCGCAGGCAACAAATAAAAAACTTCTTCCAAACACTGTCAAAGAGAAGTGTCAAATTCAGAGACTGCAGGGAAAGGTATAACCTAGAGCGAACGCCACCAGAGAGCTGCACCGTTCAACCAAACACCTGTCACATTTCTAAATCTTCTCCAAGTAAATGACAAGGCATTTTGGACTGGTACCCAAGGAGTTATAATTCACTGGATAGACAGTTGCCTTTTCCCATAAAAATACAAAATTAATTTGTTATTGGGTAAATAGTTTATACGATGGGCACTCTGAAAACAAAATACTATGAACAAATTCCGGGGGCAGACCTAAAATCAGAGCCAGACAGCACAGCCACAGAGTGCCTACAGTCTGTCTGATGCATATTACCCACAAAATTGCCCAGCGCTGGCTGAAATAACCTACTGCAGTGGGATTGGCTGGCTCAACACATCTTCCAGAAATAAGGCTGCATAGGGTTTTTTATCAGTGTGCCTGGAAACAAAGCTATTTACAAGGTACCAGACTGATCACATCTCATTTCTTTTCCCTTCTTCTACCTTGTAAGCTCCAGCTCTGGTTTCAGCTTTGTATATCACTAACACCTCATCTATGTTGCAGAGCAATACCTACTGGTGGCATCAAATCTCCAAATCTCAGCAAGATAAATATTTAATTAGAGGCACTCACTAGCAAGAACCACAGGGGTCTTTATTAATTTCCAGACGCACTACAAATAATTTTCTGCTGTTTTAAAAACAGTTACTAAATGGCATGTAAAAACAAAACAGATTGCATTTGGTATCTTACATGCTAGTCAGGCAGTCTCTTCCTGTTTAAGTGGGTAAATTAATAGCAAAAGTGCACCAGACAGTCAAAAGTCTGACTAAGGCCTACAGTAAGTGAAATAAAAACAGCACCACTGGTACTCGAGCATATAATTGAGTCTATAAAATGTAGTAGACTCTCAGAGGCCATCAGAGTAGTAACAAAGATCTCTCTTACTAACAGCTCTGTCTCTCAGGGACACTCTTTTAGAGAATCATCTGAAACTCACACCATCACTGACATCACACAGAAGGTGTGGACACATGTGGTGAACTCTGATGTATGAGTGGGTTGAATCTAGAACACATTGAGAGAGCAGATAAGTGAAAAACCTACTGCTCTTAAATCATTGGCTTCATAAATCAAATAACACACTCGGGACAAAAGGGTATAATTGATCCAATGTGAGGGGAGAAACTTTGGGAAAAGCTGTAATAGCGTAATAGAGCTGTGCTGGCAGAATATGATTTATTCCACTTTGACAAAAAAAAAACATGAATTTATTAGTATTTATTAAATTATTAGTATTGTATATTATGTAGATTTTTTTTTATTCCACAAACATAACATTCAGTTATAACTTCATAAAATATAACAAAACTAAACCAAAAATAATGTATTATAGATTTCTATCGAATCACATTTGAATCTGAGGCCGTTTTTTTTTACCACAAATCTACAAATACAAGTGCTGATAATAGAAAATAAACCAGTGAGAAACAGAAATGCATGATGCAAATGAACAAGGTCATCAATCCAAAAAAAATAATAATAATTACTGCACGCTAACTGCACGCTTTTCATGGGTGCTTACAGTAAAACACAATAACCCTGTCCAAAAACTGACATATGCGCACACACAGGCAGTCCCTCAATAAAACCATAAACAGCTTTTTTTCCTGTGGAATGTGAGGAGTTCCTGTAGTGTGACAGAGTCAGGAGGTGTTTGTGGCCCGTGTACAACATCAAAACAGCAGGAAGCTACAGCAGCATTGTCATGGGAAGAGCTGCGGACTGAAACAACGCTGCTTCTTTCTCCCCCTCATTTTTCACCTCACAAACTGGCTTCCATCCCAAATAGTTTGAAGTATGTTTGCACCCTGGGACTTTCTAGTGTTTTATCTAGGCTTCATATTATTTACCTGCACTGTCTTTTGAATGGATGGGCACAGAGGGCCTTTATTTTATGCTGGAGAGATGAGAAAGATCCTGTCTGAAGCTCAGCAACATCTTAGTCTAAAGAAAATTCCCAAATGCTCAGAGCTCCACAGAGAGGGAGCCTCAGACCCAATAACCTGATTAAGTTGCATAATACATAGCATACAGTGGTATATAATGAGCTCCACTTACATTACATGATGATACAGCAGTTCTCAAACTGCTACCAAAAAAACAACAACATGAGTGATGGAATCAGATACAGAAGTACTTTGTTAGGTACCATGTACCCAATGATTACCATATTCAGAAACCATGATATTTAAATGGTAATTTTTTGTTAGTGATGAATGTATTTAAAAAAAAAACAATGACTGACTGACTGTACAATATCCTGCTTATTGCACAACTGCCTACCAAATATATAAATAAAAGGACATGAATTATTAATTTGTTTAGATTATTGTACAATGTGACAGAGACATGAAAGTAGGGATAATGGTCAATTAAAATAGTTTAGAAGCCACTAAATATCTTCAAGCAAAATGCCACAACTGACCTATCATTATTATTAATATTTATATCCAACATAATATAAATAAAAAGTATTCTCCAATATGAAATCTATTATAACAATATATTTAATTTCATTTCATTTCATTTCATCAGTACCACAGTTTTTTTTATATACACTGAACAAAATTATAAACGCAACACTTTTGTTTTTGCCCCCATTTTTCATGAGCTGAACTCAAAGATCTAAGACTTTTTCTATGTACACAAAAGGCCTATTTCTCTGCATTTATAATTTTGTTCAGTGTATGTATAGGTTTTTTTTTTTGTTGTTGTTGTTCATTAATATACATTACATAATATTTCACAGAAACACTTCATTTAAAGAGGAAAAATTGACATTTTTCAAAAGTGAAATTAACTGTAATGTACATGAACTGAGGATCTGTTAAACATTATATAATGTACTAACGTTTATTAATTATGTTAATAAAAGTCACCAATAAGTGTTGTATACAGTTTGGCCATTAGAGAAATTAATAATTCATACAAAAAGACCGTCAGCCTTTGTGGCAGACAATGCATCAAGCCCTAGTGTTTGTTGAGATGTGCACTGAGCTCAGATTAGCCATTCAGATCAATAGTGCTGCACTACCAGGGGATCAGAACACTTCTATCACTGCACACGTTTCCACTGTCATCACCAACAATGGGATCGCAGAACACATTTTAGCCCTTCACTGAGAAGGGGTGAGAGTATGCAGCGCTATTAAGGGCACTCAGATCAACTGAAATATCAGCATACTACATATTTAGGTAGGGTGTGTCTGTGCCAGTCGACCATAGTAAATACATATTCTCCAGAATTCGGGACCTACAACTTGCTAATACACACCCATGGCAACCTGCAGCAACATATTGGTTGTGATGAATGATTTTCATATGTCTCTGCTGACATTATGACATATTTTAGGAGGCTTTTCCCAAAGTTCAGCACTTATCACAGCTGTTAGGGTGAGGTTAGTTTCCATAGCTAGATTACTAGAGGAAAAGGCAGGGTTGATGGGGAGAGAAGAGCGAATGAGGCCGGACTTGTGCTTAAAATAGCACTTATGAGCAGCAAGGAGTGGTAAGTATTCCAGTTATGTCCTGTAACTTCACTATCTCTCTCTTCTACAAACCACAGGCATTCAAGAGCCCACAGAACATTAAGAGTCTCGCTGGCCTATCGACACAGCTGCAAGTGATAAACTTCCTCTCTCACTTAACACGTTTTGACATGATCTTTATCTCTTAGGCACTCAAACAAGAGGTCTGTGAGCTAAGCTGGTAAACTAATAACTAGATCCCTCTGTGACACAAAGCTCAAGTGACTCTACCGATGATGGTTAATCTGAGCCTGAACCTGGCACAGGGCCTCCACGCACTGTGCCCCTAATGAGAAGCATCAATCAACCCTGGCAGCAACATTTACTTACCTGTCATCTGCATGAGAAATGGTCTTCATGGCCGTGTGCGATATTCCTATGAGAGCCCAACATTCTGAATCCATGAGCCCACCTCTATATGGAGAACATGGAGTGATAACAGGGAAATCGAGGTAGGCGGCTGAACTTCGTAATAGTTTTCACCTGGGTTTGTTTCAGCAGGCAGCAAAACATTCAAAATAAACAGCAAACCCTCAGCTCGATCTTTCCTCTGGCGTTAGCAAGTAACAGAATGAGTTCGGTCTCAGCGGGGCACGTAAATCTGAGCTCTCTTAACCCTCACAGCACTGATGAGGTAGAAATCCCAGCTCAGCTTACTGGCATATGGGAAGACACAGAAATTAATGGAAAGGAAGAGGAGAGGAACAGGTGCTGTGGTACACATTTTAATGGAATATTAAAGAAAATGAACAATTATTAATATTATAGTAATTTAACTTTGATTTACTGTATATTTATGGTTGATAACGACTAATAATCCATAACAGCAAGCCTCCAATTCCACTGAACAATTCAGGTTGCTTATTGATTCCATTAATATTCCCCTGGTTCTCGGTTTATTCTAAGCGTAGGTAGTTTCAAATTATCTGCCCCACACTGTACCCACCTGCTTTGCAGTCAAAATAAAGTACAGATTAGCAGATATCTTTATTTCAAATACTATTTAGTAGTGCAGCTTCAAGCAAAAAAAACACCCACATCACCTTCACAGGAAAATGCAATAACAGTAATGGCCATCATTACCATTACCTCTGGATATTTCCAGCTGATTTGCTGATTCCAGCACAGGCATATGATATCAGTGGCTCGTGAATCATTACTATACATCTCATTACTCGAGCATCTGTTAAAGAACAATTCAAAAATCTCGCAGCTATTCATTTAATCCAAGGCCCTTAAGAACTTCACAAGCATGGCTAACCATACAAATAACCTGCATTGACCTCTTAACCACATGCAGGAAGTGTGTATCCTAAAGTACATTTTGTGCAAATAAAAGGAAGAGAAGCACTCACTGGTCCTGTAAAATGAAGTCCGTGTTTTCTGAGGATATATGTCCCGTCACAGGATGCCTGAATGTCGTCGTCCTCAGGTTGTGGCTGGATCCAAGAAGAAAGGGAAGGAAATGGGGAAAAACAAGAGAAGAAAAACAAAATGAGCAATCCAATATTAATCATTCTTAATTTGGCACTTCCCTCCCCCGCTGTGGCTACTGTAGCCATAAGAGCAACATTCTACAGGAATACACCAAGTTTGAGGGATTCTGATGACTTTCCCGCAGGAGCGCAGAATGTGTGGCAGCGCTGAAGCTTGGCCAAGCCCACTCATATTATTTAACACAAAGTGTGGGGCTAAGCACAAACCGCTGCAGAAACTTTATTGATTTCAATTACACAGGGTCATTCACTGTTTTAACTAGAGCATTAAAACATCTCACTGTCATCAGGTGTAATAAGACAGAGACAGGGGCTTCTAAGGGTGAGAGGACTGTGAAATAACACACATAATATGCCTGCTGTCATCGATTCAGTTATTCATTCTGTCTTCACATTGTGTGTTTGGCTGAAAGGGAGTGAGTGGTGGTAATTTGATGAGTAAGAAAGATCACCACTTGAGTAAATGTGGTCCTATATGAGGAGAAAAGGCTCCACCACAAATCACTTATCTGCCAATCATCATTTCCATTATGTTTAAAAAAAACTACTGTATAAGTCACTTTGCCTCAACGACTCTCTGTGGACTCAAGGCTGATAGATACAGCTAAGAGAACAGGCAAAGTCATGCTTCAGGTTCGCTAGCAATGTGCCCAATGCACATTTCTTAATATTAAGCCTAAAATGTGTTTTAATGTCACTACTGATAAGGATTGTATGATTTTTTAATCATATCGGTCTTTAAATGCAAGATATTTAAAGTGTACCTGAAATTTACTTGCAATAGTTCACACTCAAATATACTTCAGTATATCTTTAGTTGGACCTCAGCTCTACTTCCGCACAATTAAAGTGCATTAAGCACAGAATTAGTTGTTCCAATTTAGCAGACTTGAAGTATACCAGTTTAGTATACCAAAAGTACAACTGCAGAGTATTTTTATTACGTACGTAATACAAATATGTAAACGTATTTGCAGTATACTTAGTATTAAATAAATGTATTTCAAATACATTTTAGTATATTTATTTTGCACTAGGGTAATGAAACAAGGCTGAAATAAAACTTAAACTTGCCTCAAACTTGCCTCAAACTTTCATATATTCTAGATTCATTACATGTAAAGTAAAATTTCAAAAGTTTTTTTGTTTTAATTTTGATGATTAGAGCTTACAGCTCATGAAAGTCAAAAATCCAGTATCTCAAAATATTAGAATATTTACATTTGAGTTTTCATTAAATGACAATCCCTACAGTATAAATTCCGGGTATCACTTGTTCTTTGAAACCACAATAACGGGGAAGACTGCTGACTTGGCAATGGTCCAGAAGACAATCATTGACACTCTCCACAAAGAGCGTAAGTCACAGAAGGTCATTACTGAAAGAGCTGGCTGTTCACAGAGTGCTTAAATGCAAAGTTGACTGGAAGGAAGAAATTGGGTAGGAAAAGGTGCACAAGCAACAGGGATGACCGCAAGCTTGAGAATACTGTCAAGCAAAGCCGATTCAAACACTTGGGAGAG